GATTCGTTCTTGCTTCCACTTCTAGGCAGCATATCCTTTTTCTTAGATCAGCTGTAACTGATAAATCACTTAGTCCTCATACTATAATTGAAAGTCAAAATAGTTTTATTAGTAAAAAAAAAAATTGTAAAGATCAATGTTTACATAACCAACAAGGATTTCCAATGTCTATGGCCCAAACAAGCTACCTTAGCTCCCTGACCCCCTCTAGAAGACAACATTGTTAACAATCCCCCCACTCTCTCCCTCCTTCTCTTTAAGTGGGTGAAGGGAAACTAGATAATTCATGAATCCTCCTATCAGTTCCTCAAAGTGAACTTGACTTAGGATGCAAAAGATCTCTGGAATTCTTGACTGACAATCACCCTCCACAGAGTGATGAGTGGGTTTGTTGGAAAGATCTGTCTTACTCATTTTTTCCCCCTCATGGCACTACAAGTATACAGACTTAGGAGACAGGATGGGAGCAATCTCAATGTCAAAAACTAGGATATGGGGGCTGGGAAGGAGCCTCTAGTGGAGCCTGTATGGGGCCCAAGCACAAGGGAGAGCAGCTGGAGGGCCAAGAGAAGAGGGGACAGGGCACATCTGCATTTGAGTCCAGGCCTGAGCAGGAGGGACTTTGTCCTTCCACAAAGAGAGTGAGTTATACCAAGGGAGAAATGCTCCCTGTCCTCCTGACAATCAGGCCCTTCCAGACCAGCTTCATCTCCAAGGCTCCTATAAAAGGCAGTCCCTGGATGAGCATAAATGCATTTGGTATTGTAGGAATCAGTGACATTCAGGGATGTGGCTATGGACTTCACCCAGGAGGAATAGGGATACCTGGACTTTTCTGATAAAGATCTGTACAGGGATGTGATGCTGGAGAATTAATAGACACCTGATCCATCTAGGACTCACTGTTTCCAAGCCAGATGTGATCTGCCATGTGGAGTAAGGGGAACCTCCTTGGAGGCCAGAAAGTCAAGTTATAAGAACTAGTTTTCAATATTGGGAGTATATTCCTGAAACCAAGGATTCATCTCCAAAGCTGGGCATTTCTATTGAACCTTCATCCAAGGAAGAATGTGCAAAGGTTCATCTCTTTGTCTCAAATTTTACAAAAGCCCTGAGGTATCGTGCCAGTTTACAGAGGCAACAGAGTACTGAGCAGAAATATTCTTGGATTCATTCTCGAAAGAATAAATGTCTTATCTATGCACTGTCCTTTTACAGCAAGGCAAGTCTTATTTGACATATGAGAATTCATACTAGAGAGAAACCTTATAAATATAATGAATGTGAGCACGCTTTCCATGAAAGTGTGATCCTTAATGTTTATCAAAAATTCACAGTGAAGTGAGATCTTATGAATGTGGGAAGACCTTCTGCTCAAAGGCTGGAGTTACCCATCATGAGAAAATTCATACTG